AGTCTGCCTCTATGTGTGTGTGTGTGAGTGTGTGGGTATGTGGTGGGTTTGGGTATTTAGTACTAGCACAATAAATATACAAGTGAAAGCCCCACAGCCGATAAGAAATTCCCAATCAATTTTGAACTCTGACTCGTTCCGAAATTAGTTTCTACTTAAATTAGCATTCATACTAAGGCTGTGGCCAGAGAGATGTGGGCCAGAGAGAAGCAAATGGAAAGGCAAAATCAGTTCGATATATGTATGCATGTATTTACAACTAGTTCATATATCATGGGGAAAAGCTCATAAGCCAATTACAAGGTGCATCAATCAAAAGGAAAGATAAACAGAACAGCTACACATGCACACACACCCACACAAATGCACTCCCACACACACACACACACTCACATGCCTATAACATATATTCTATTGAATCAATTGCGACCAAGTCGAAAGGAAGTCCGAAGACGTAGACAAAGACGATATTAGTCATTCGCTACACTTGTCAACGACTTTGTCTACGCTGTGCGTGTGTGTGTATGCGTGTGTGTGTGTGCGTTGCTTGTCAGCGCGTGAAAATATGCGCCGATTGCTGTCTTAGGCACAGTAAAAAGACCTCTGGGCCAAACTGCTTGTCAGCTGAAGTGCTCAAGTGTTTCCCTCTTACACCCGCACACACACACACACGCACACACACGCACACGCACACACCTGAGTAGTACACCTCACAAAGTAAACAATGGCAATATGCAAAGCGGCAAAAAGGGAGTGTGAACCAAAGCTTCAGCTGCACGACTTTTAAATACCCTAAGCTAACATTATAAAAAAGTCTCTGCATTTAATTTTATATTTTATATGCACTTATATTGAAATAAATGTTGTATTGAATTACTATAGCAGAACTGGCTCAGATTACAGCCTAAGACCTGGACATGATAGCTTCTTCTTATAAAGCGTTCTACCATCTGTTCTCTGACCTCGGTCAACAATTAACTAGATCTGTTTTATATCCAGCTATCGAGCTGTGCCATTAGCCCATTATGCAAGCTATTTAGGCTACCAACATGAAGCCAATTAATGCCTTCCACATGGCTAGCTCAGTAGGTTAAGCTGATTAGGCAGGTGCAAGAGGAGGGCGGGCAGCCAGGGGGCGGCGGCTGGGGGTTGGGGTTTACTCTTAATTCCGTTTCGTTATCAGCAAATGAATGCAAATTTGTTAGGCACACAAGGCGCAGCCCGTTCAACCGTTTGGTAATGGGTCGATAATTTTTTTTTATTTTTTAGATTGCGTGCAACAGGTTGAAGACGTGGAGTGTGCGACTCCTAGATACCCTGTGTGCAGTGCTTCAATTTGTTATGTTATTAGCTATTTGTCTTGGTAATCAATTCTAGACACATTAAAAAGAAAGCCTTAAAGCTGCTCTCACCAAGAGACTGTTGATCGAATTAAATCAGGAGATGTCCCCATCGATAATCGATCAGCAATCAAAAACTCTGAATCTACATAAATCACTTCCACTTCGCTCCATTGCCGGCTGCGCTGCCCTTTTACGAATTACAGGGTATGTAAAGAAAGCAGAAACGAGATTGCGTCATTTGCGCTGGTGACGCCCACAAGGCCCCACCATCGCCCCATTTCAGGGAATTGGCGACAAAACGACATCGGCCAACGGGCCATATATGAACGGGAAGCCTTATAGACGCTATTCGACTCGACTCGATTCAACTCGACTCGATTCTCGTTGTGGCTATGACGGCTTTTCGTAGTTACCCTCGCTCTGTATGGCAAATGGGTATGCTGGCGGAGGGGGGTGGGCTGGAGTAGGGGTATTCAGGTGATCACATTGTTTGTTTGAATTACGTATTTCTTTATTATTATTCTCGGCTGTTGCCATTAATTGAAAATGAAATGAAATGAACAACAGCAACAACAACAACAACAGTAATAACAACAAAGATGGCACACGAGCAACATTAACAGGAATATTTCTGGCTAAACAGTTGTATTGTTTAAAGTGCATAAACAAAAGCACAAACACTTCCTCACACACACACACACCCACACACATGTATGTGTATGGATATGTATATCAAATTTATTCGCCTGACAACACAATAATAATGAGAGGGAAACAAATACAAATTTTTGGTTCGTTGACCGAGTTTTTGGGCAAAGCTTCTCCCACTTTTCTCTCGCTCGAATTGCAAAGTTTATGTTTATTATGTTAGGTATTCAAATGTGTGTGTGAGTGTGTGTGTGCACGTATTTTAATGCAGATTCAAGTTGCTTTCGTTTGAGCAGTTTGGCAAATGCTGCTGCTAGCAGCTTCCGTTGTTCGCGCACAGTGGGACAAAGGCAATTTGCTGCGGCAGTAAATAGCAGCAGCTGCTCTCAGAGCCGAGCTTAGTCACATATATGACTAATTTCTCAGTGCTATTGCAATTACGACTATTTGACATCGAAAGTGACTCGTTTGGCAGCCCGCGAGCCACTGTGCGACTTCTGCTTTGGCTTTGTTCGCGTGACCCGCTGAGCAAACGGAGGAAATGGCAACGTAAGCAAATCCAATTTGCTTGCCTGATGCTGGGAAGTGGATAGTAAAGCGAGCGTGCGAGTGAGAGAGTAAGAGAGGGAGGGAGGGAGAGGAAGAACGTTGAACCGGTTAAGTATTGGACAGCGCTTTAAACTGAGCTTCGATGTCAGCTGAGCTGCTCAAGTCACGTAGATCTGCAGATAAAGTGCGACTGCAGATGAGTCAAGCCGATTGGCCAATGGAAACGGGGCAGAAATAGTCAGAGAGGTCACACGGCGGACGGAGACTTGGACAGAGCTGGTACTGGAACTGGAACTGGAACTAGAAACGGAACCGAAAGCCGCACACTGTGCGGTCTGCCCTGTGCGTAATGGGAGACGCAGCCGTTGAACCTGCTAGCAACGTAATTTGAAGCGGTAAAACACACAAGCGGAGAGGTGAAAATGAGAAAGGGGGCCTAGGGCTGGGGCTGGGGCTGGGCCTGCCTGTCACTCAATTTCAATTAGGACACATCACTCAAAGAGTCGGCGAAAGGTATTTTCATTATGTCACTAACTATGTAACGCTTCCATCAAAAAGCAAAATCTAAATATTTAATATTTTCGACTGCCTGGGAATCTTTATCAAAGTCAACGCGGTCGAAGGTGGACAGCTTCGAAAGCTTCGTCTGTTGAGCAACCCCACGTGCGGGCAGCTGATAAGAGAGAGTGAGAGGAGAAGGAGAAGGAGAGGGGGGATGGACTCAATTGAATTTGCCGTGCCAGAGAGGCATCAATAATGTTGCTGCTTGCAGCTGCTGTCTGTCCATTTGCATTTGTTTGGTTTTATGCGCTTTACCGTTATGCGTCAGGGTTGCCATGTGTGCGCAGGGCTACAGCAAAAGGGGGCGGGGCAGGGCAGGGGCAATGCTTATCGCTGTTTGCTTTTTAATTTTTATTGCTTCTGACGAACGACCAAACGAACGGCACGGCACGGCACACGCACCCCGACAACGAGATGCTCTTATGCTATTTTTGTGTGTTCATGCAACGGTAGCCCCCAGAGCCAACCAGCCCCCGGGCTGCACACGCACACACACACACGCTGACACACAGTCAAGCAGAGAGCACACACACACACACAGGCACAGATGAAGAGCTGTCTGGTTGTTTACGCTTCGCTTCTTCTTATATTCTTAATGATTGTTTTACACTTTTTGCTTTTACCGTTAAACGAAAAAATAAACGAAATTTGTCGACTAAACAGTTTGCTAATGCCCGCGACGGCTTAAAGTCAACTAATCCCATTTGCGGCGAAACTGTGCTGAGCCTAATGCGCTGCAAGAGTCAGAGCGTGAGAGTGGAAGAGGCAGAGCAGAGAGTGAGAGCTGTGGCTACAAGAAAAAGAACAAACTAGTTCAATTAATTAAACGATTTGTAAACACAATACCATGATTAATTACACACACACACCCAAATACACAGAAATACAGACTGCATGCATTCATTTCTGGAATTAATGTAGAATGCAGTAGTGTGAGTGTGTGTGAGTGCAAGTACATTCTCTCCCTCTGACGCTCTCTGTCGCTCTTTTCAAAACTGTGATTTTCAAGCAAATCAGACAGACACTGCGACACTGCGCTTCGTTGAGTAGGCGGCATCTTGAGCTGTGCATGCGTGTGTGTGAGTGAGAGTGAACATCGCGAAGAGAGTAAAATCATAATAATGAAAGGCAAGCAGAGCGCTGTGCCGCGTTGATTCTGCCTGCGGCTGCAGATAAGCGCACTCACACACACACACACACACACGAACACATAGGTAGCAAAACAAGAAAAAGAGTTAAATGAGCCGCTTTGGGCAGGAACTGCAGCTCACCTTTTTACTCGTAGCACTTAGGTACGGCGTATGATGGTGTGTACTCTTTTTACATAGCAACAAATTCAGCAAATATGAAGAACACATTTATTTGTAAGGCTCCTTCGAAACTTTACACAAATATTGACGCACATGCACACACGCACATACACATTGATCGGTCGCTCACGCACACGGGCTGCGAGTCGAAAGGAAAACAAAGCAGGAAAAAATGGAACGGCACAACGAAGCCGCAAAACGAAAATAAAGTTATGGTACTGTGCTTGTTTGACTATGCGAGCTAGGGTTTACATATGGAACACGTAACGAAACCGCAAGCAGTTGTGCTTTCAATAATGAACAAAATTAACAAAATAAAATAGAATTGAATTTTCTTTCCGAAACCGAACAAACCAAGGCGAGCAGCGACGAACTAGTGATGTTAAATGCGGGCGAACAACGTATCGATGTATCGATGTTGTTAAAATATTACGACAGCCATCACGATGTTTGTGTGTGTATATCGGAGAGAAACTCTAAATAGTTACTGATTGCTTGCTCACTGACCGAAGCTGACTGATATGGAATATACGCGCGTGATTTGATTTTCAAATTTTATATAACAAAGCAAACATTACTTTATGTTGGCAGAAATAGAAGAAGAGAAATTAAACATAATTTTAAAATTAATTGAAATTGAAATAGTAGCTGTTAAGCGATGGCCAGTCGTGAAGGGGGCAAGAAGAAGCCCTTAAAAGCCCCCAAAAAGGAGGCCAAAGAGATGGACGAACAGGACTTGGCCTACAAGCAGAAGCAAAAGGAGCAGCAGAAGGCTCTCGATGCAGCCAAACAAAAGGCAGCCCAGAAGGGCGGCAAGAAGGCATCTAAATAGCATATATCATCCACACGCAGGATATTCGATGTCCTGTTCTGCAATAAAATTGAGTTGGCTTACGTTTTGCCCAGTTGAATGATGATTAATTGCTTCTATTACTGTGCTGAGGTCGGGGTTGCTCGCTTAAAAAACCATCACAAAAATGTGACAGCCCAAAGGCCACACAAAAAACCTTTGCTGGACACGGGCATTGGCGAGCGCAACAAATGCGGCAAATACGCATTTGATGCGTTTTTTATGTTAATCGAGTGAGCTAATGGACATTGCGAACTGTCTGTCGTGCTGATGTCCTGCTGTCCCGATGTCCTCATGTCAGAGTGGGACATGTGTGTGTCAATTTATTGTATTAATCAAACGCTAAAGCGATTTGTAGTTGATGAAGCCTTACACTACGGGAGAGGCTGGAAGAAGAGACGCTCCGATAGTTGCAACTAGAGATAAAAAAGAGACTATTAGGGGGAGAGTGAAAGCGAGAGAGAGAGTGAGAGATAGAGAGAGAGAGAGAGAGCGAGAGAGGGAGGGGGAGAAAGATAGAAGCAGAGTAAGAGGGACAGAGACAGAAATAGCGAGTGTTTCGCTTATTGAAGTGGAGCTGTAAATGAGCAAAAGAGACTTCTGAAAGAGGCGAAAGAGAGAGATATATTGAGAAAGATCTTATGGATCTCAAATGTAGATATCCAAGAACACTCAACTCATTATACAAGAAATAATCAAGCTCGTGTGTTTATCATCATATTTAATATTTAAGCCTTTTATGGAAAACGTATTTGAATTGTTTTTATACAAAATTTAAATTACATTTTTTAAAAGCTAAAAATTGTATAGTTTCGCTTTAAGTATTATACAAATATATAGATATTTTGTATTTTTTTAAGTGTAGGCAAAAAACATAACACAAATAAAACTTAAGCAGAACTCTTAGAGGTATTTATTATTTATTATTTTTAAACTAAATCAATTCAGAAAACTGAAGGAAATATTTCAAAAATGTGTGTGTGTTTTTTTTAATTATAATTATAATCGTAATCTAGAAGAGGAAGCATTTGATATGTTGTAAAAATGTGAAGTATTAATTTTAATATTA